CCCAAAGAGGACCACACCAAGACACATCAAAATCAAAATGCCAAAAGTTAAAGAGAGAATCTTAAAAACAGAAAGAGAAAAGCAGAGACTCACCTACAAAGGACTTCCCATAAGACTATCAGCTGATTTCTCAAAAGAAACTTAGCAGGCAAGAAGGGACTGACAAGAAGTATTCAAAGTGATAAAAGGCAAGGACCTACAACCAAGATTACTCTTTCCAGCAAAACTATCATTTAGAATGGAAGGCCAGATAAAGTGCTTCCCAGACAAGGTAAAGCTAAAGGAGTTCATTATCACCAAGCCATTATTACATGAAATGTTAAAGGGACTTATTTAAGAAAAAGGAAAAGATCAAAATTATGAGCATTAAAATGACAACAAACACAACTATCAACAACTGAATCTAAAAAACAAAAACTAAGCAAGGAACTAAAAGAGGTACAGAATGATAGACATGGAGATCATTTGGGGGATTATCAGCAGGGAAGAAGAAAGTGGATAATAGGGGGAGAGGTGCAAAGATTGAGAAGCGTAATGGGCAGGTACAAAACAGGCAGGAGGATGTTAAGAATAGTGTAGGAAATGGAGAAGCCAAACAACTTATATGCACAGCTCATGGACATGAACTAAGGGGGAGGGGTAATTGCTGGAGGGAAGTGGGGAACCAGGTGGAGGGGGCAAAAGGGGGAAAAAATGGGACAACTCTAATAACACAATCAATAAAATATACTTTTAAAAAATTACAACTAAACTATAGAACAACCACCACTCAAAACCAGAAGAAATCAAGTTTAATGGAGGTCCTGCAACCTTGGGTTTATGGAAGAAACCACATCCTTCCAGACTGGTAGGAGGAGCAGAGGTACAGAGACATGGAATGGGCTGGTCTCACACCCACATATGGCAGATAAAAATCAGAAGGGATATATCTGGAGTGAGGTGTCCCAGGCCCACACTAGGCCCCCTGGCTCATGGTTCCAGTGGCAGGAACATAAGTCCCCATGGCTGCTGGCTGTTAAAAGCAGTGGAGGTTGAGTCAGTTAAAGAAACTTCTGGATTCCCAGGCAGTTCCTCTTAATGGGCCCACAAACAAATTTATTAAAACTCACTCCTGCTGAGCTGCAACATTGGGACAGCAACTTGAAAGGCATCAGTGGCATGTGGTGAAGGACTGAAGTGTCTAGCATCAGGGAGAGAGCTGGGGTACAGCTTTCTCCAAGACAGAACTGCTGGCAGAGGCTTTTGCTCATCTTCTGAGCCCTTTCCCCACAGAGCCACAGAGCACAGCAGGCACGATATCTGTGACTCCATCTACCTGGCTCAACTGTTGCTCCACCCTGGTGATTCCCTGAGACTCCACCCTACGCAACTTACTGGCCCACCCAAGCCATTAAGAATGGCTTTTCCATATGAATGACTTGTCTTGGCTTACGCTTCTAACTTCCTAAATCCTCTCAAACAAGCTACAGTTTGCCTTGGCAAGCCTCTGTACTTTGCTAAGTGGCCCCAGGCCCAGCATCAGCAGCAGCAGGCCTTGGTTCACAACCAGGCCTTGCCAGGGCACCTCCAAGACCAACACAAGAAGCAGCCAGCTGCAGATCACATTATAGCTTATGCTAAGTGGCCCCAGACAGAATACAAGGCACCATGGCCCTGCTGAAGTAAACCCTGCTCTGTGGCATGGACCTCTTCACAGCTGATTCTCCATGGAGGGGAGAGGTTGGGGTAAGTAGTCACAGCCAGTACTTGCAGCTGACTGGCCTAGGTAAATCTCTCCCATTGACCTGCCAACAGCAATCAAGTCTCAACTACAAGAGGAGTATGTACTCAGCAAATACAGAGAGTGCACCTCAAGTACCAAGCTTAGGTGATAGTGGACACTGTGCCACTGGACCCACAGGACACGTACTACATTAAGCTACACACCCAAGACAGAGAGTCATAGCAGCTCTACCTAATACATAGAAATAAACACATTGAGGCTGCCAAAGTGAGGAAACAAAGAAACATAGCCCAAATGAAAGAACAGAACAAAACTCCAGAAAAAGAACTAAGTAAAGTGGAGATAAGCAATCTTTCAGACACAGAAGTCAAAACACTGGTTATAAGGATGCTGGAGGTACTTAGTGGGGACTGCAACAGCATAAAAAATCCAGTCAGAAATGAAGGATACACTAATTGAAATAAAGAACAGTTTACAAGGATCATCAGTAGAATGGGTGAAGCTAAGGATCAAATCAATAATTTGGAACATAAGCAAAAAACAACCAACCAGAACAGCAAGAATAAAAAGAATCCAAAAAAAACAAGTATAGTATAAGGAGCCTCTGGGACAACTTCAAATGTGCCAATATTCAAATCATAGAGGTGCTAGAAGTAGAAGAGAAAGGACAAGAAATTGGACAGCTACTTGAAAAAATAATGAAAGAAAACATCCCTAACTTGGTGAAGAAAATAGACATACAAGACCCGGAAGCACAGAGAGTCCCAAACAAGATGGATACAAAGAGAATCTCAAAAGCAGCAAGAGAAAAGGATACAGTTACCTACAAAGGAGTTCCCATAAGACTATCAGCTGATTTCTCAAAACAATCTTTGCAGGCTAGAAGAGATTGGTAAGAATATTCAAAGAGATGAAAAACAAGAACCTTCAACATGGTCAGTCTATCCAAAGAAGCTATCATTTAGAATGGAAGGGCAGATAAAGAACTTCCCAGACAAGAAAAATCTAAATGAGTTCGTAATCACCAAACCATTATATGAAATGTTAAAGGGACTTATTTAAGAAAAAAATCAAAAGCGTGAACAATAAAATGGCAATAAATACTTGTCTGTCAACAATTGAATCTAAAAAACAAACTAAGCCACTAACAAAACAGAAACAGAATCATAGATACTTAGAATATTTTGATGGCTGCCAGATGGGAAGAAGATACTGAGGGAATAGGTGAAAAAGTGAAGGGATTAAGAAGCATAAATTGACAGCTACAGAGTAGTATTGGGGATGTAAAGTACAGTTTAGGGATTGGAGAAGCCAAGGAACTTATATGCACAACCCATGGACATGAACAAAGGTGTGGGATTGCCTGAGGGAGAGAGGGTACTCGGTGGAGGGAGGCTAAGGGGGTAAAATTGCAACAAATGTAATAGTATATTCAATAAAATATAAAAAGATAATGTGACACATCACATAAAGAAAATGAAAATAAAAATCACATGATCATATCAACAGATGCAGAAAACACAGTTGATAAAATCTAGCACTCATTTACGATTAAAAGAAAAAAACACTCTCTGCAAAGTAAGAATAGAGAGATCATACTTTACTATAATAGAGGTCATATATGGAAAACCTGCAGCCAACATCATAGTCAATGGGCAGAGACTAAAGGCGTTTCCCTTAAGATCAGGAACAAGATAGGGATGTCCACCTTCACCACACTTATTTAACATAGTACTAGAAGTTCTAGCCACAGCAATCAGACATAAAGAAGAAATAAAAGACATCCAAATTGGCAAGGAAGAAGTAAAACTGTCATTTTTCATAGGCTACATGATACTGTACATAGAAAACCCTAAAGATTCCACCAAAAGCTACTAGATCTAATAAGTGAACTTTGCAAAGTAGCAGGATACAAAATTAATACCCAGAAATTGGTGGCACCCAGGCTGGTATGGCTCAGTGAGTTAAGTGTCTTCCCACAAACCATAAGGTTGCTGGTTTGATTCCTTATCAGGGCACATGCCTTGGCAGCAGGCCAGGTCCCCAGCTAGAGGCACATGAGAGGCAACCAATCATTGTTTCTGTCACACCGTTATTTCTCTCCTTCTCTTTCTCTTCCCTTCCCATTGCTTTAAAAATAAATAAATAAAATCCTTTTAAAAAAGAGAGATAAAAAGAAATCATGAACTATCAGAAAGAGAAACTAAGATCACAATCCTATTTACTCTTGCAACAAATAAAAATAAGGTACCTAGGAATAAACTTATCCAAGGAGGTTAAAGATCTGTATTCTTATATATTTCTAATAGCAGTCTTTAGAAATCCTGGTTATGGTCCTTTATTTTACAAAATCACTTTTAAGTGGAAAAAGGAATGAATACAATTCTTTTTTATTCTCTTTTTAATTGAAGCCTAATTATTCAAACACAATGTCAAAAATTACCTGTTAGGTGCTACATTTGGAGCCTAAGCCTAAATTTATAAGCATAAGTATGAGATTATGGCAAAAGTAATAATAACATTTAAAATGGAATGCAGTGGTGCCCTGTCCAGGTGGCTTTGTTGATTGGAGCATTGTCCCATATACCAAAGGGCTGCAGAATTGATCCCCAGTCAGGGGATATACCTAGGTTGCTGGTTCCATTCTCTGTCGGGGCTCATATGGGATGCAACCAATCAATGTTCCCCTCTCACATTGATGTTTCTCTCTCCCCACTTCTTCTCTCTCTAAAATCAATAAACATATCCTTGGTGAAGATTAAAAAAAAGAAGAAGAATACAGTGATCTTCAACCAAGCAAGTTAATGGTTCTCATAAAAATTTCTAAATAATGGTGTGAACTAGATTGAAGGACTCTTTTTTTTTTTTTTAATCCTCACTAGAGGATATGTTTATTGATTTTGAGAGAGAGGAAGGGAGAAAGAGAGAAAGACATTCACCAGTTGCCTCCTATATACACCCTGACCAAGGATTGAACCTACAACCTAGGTATGTGCCCTGACTGGAAATCAAACCTGTAACCTTTTGTATAGGACGACACTCCAACTAACTGAGCCACCCTGCCAGGATAGGTTGAAGGACTCATATTTAAATATAAATATAACAGATAATAATTAAGGAAATTATATATATGCTAATTTCAATAATAAAACTGATCTAATGAAAGATCAAAAAGTAGTTGAAAGATAATATAGATCTGTAGTTTTATAAATCTTCTTAACCACCTCAGATTATTTTTGTTTCCACTCTAATTTTACATCATTTATTTGTTTTATAGGCCCACCCAGGTGAAATGGCAGCTGATGGTAGCTAGTTGTTTCAGAAGAAGTGGTAAAAATGCTTTTATTTTATTTCATTTTTAATATGCTTTACTTCTGTCCTTTAGTTAATTTTGCATAAAATGTGTTTCAATTGCTTATTTGTTTATTGGAACATTAACTTTTGATAACTACACATATTTGAAGCATTATATGAAAAACATAATTACTATAGACAGAAAAATGTTATGCTTAGTCATGTATTCCACCACCATTGTTAAAAACAGCTTTATCTCTCTTTCACTGAATATGTAATCATTTTCACAAGTTGGTCACAGAAAAACAAGCATTCTCTGCACATCAATTTATATTCCATTTTCTGTCACCTACTTCTAAATATCCTGTGTGCATGGCCATGTTAATGAGACTCTCTCCACCTCTAAGCCTGTGGCAGGCCCAGAAATGGAGCACTGGGGCTCTATTTTTATACCAGGGATCATTAGGCATCTCCAGTTGTGCTTTCAGCAACTGCTTTATTATGTCCTGTGCTGCTGGCCCCTATCCTGAAGGATAGTGATGTTAGTAGTTTTCGATGAACTGAATGATATAAAAATGTCAAAGATTGAGCAGGATCCCTCTTGTAGAGCATACAAATAATCCAGGGAAAAGAAACTTCTTAATCCCAGGGAAGTATTTGTTGTCAATGTTAACAGGGTGCTGTTGCCCAGCACCATAGCTTCTTTCTGGATGGACCTCTGTGAGCTCCTTCATAATAGTATCAAAATACATACTTAGTGTCGTCTTCAAGGCATTGAAAGGGTTGATCTTTAATGTGACTGTGTGTCCTTTTGGATAAGCTACAATATAATTACACTGTATACACTTTACTGATCTCAGCTTAGTTCTGATTGCCTCTTCATTTCCATGTCATATGCAAAGTGTTTGTATATGGGGCATTCTGAATAATTTAAAGACATAAACATTTTTGAATTATTGAAGGGCAGGTTAGAAGAGAAACTAACATTTATTAAGAACCCACTGTGAGTTAGATGCTTCATCTCTGTTTAATTCTCACAGCAACTCCTTGAGGTTCTCACGACCATCCCTTTTGAAGGCCCAGAGAGATTCATAGCTCATTTACTGAGATTTTAGCCAAGACCTTTGACCCAAAATTTATCTTTTCTTTGCCGCTGCATGAATGAAGCTCAATTATTTTATAAGAAAACAAAATGTTTTCTATAAATATTTTAATGGTTCAAAATGAAAACTACAAAAAAGTTATTTTTTATCTTTTCTAAGTGAATGACATTGAAGTTATTATTAGTTTACCATGTAAATTATTTTAAATTTGTCAGTTCACTTGAAAGAATCTTTAATTTTTAGGAAATTGAATGGATCTTAATCTTTTACCACTAACATTTATATTAAGAGGTGGAACTAAATTTTAACCATCATCCATTTTCTTAGGCTCTGACCCTTTTCGATTTTATTTTACATGTACATTTCTTCCAGAAGTTATGTTAACTGTTATACATGCTTATGGCAAATATAGAAGTCTTCCTGATAAACCAATTAAATGATGCCAGTACATTGGATTAAAATTAATATTTTGCTGAATCCTTTTAATTTCTATAAATCTGCTAATATGTTTCTTTTTTTTATTTGTAGGTAACTACCAAAAAGCATTAGATACTTATAAAGATATTCACAGAAAATTTCCAGAAAATGTTGAATGTAAGTGAGATTACATTTTGTAGCTTTGGAAGCACAGGTTCTCATACTTTATGTCCTATTTTACATTTGCTACAGTAATTGCATGAACAAATACCAACCGATACTTGTGGTACATACGTTTAAAAAGTAGTTTACAGGATCAGAGAATTTGACTACATAAGTACACATGTTTATAGAATTTGATTGTTGATGGATTTACATATACCACTGAATTCTCTTCAATAGTAAACAAATCTATATTCCCCATCTTGACATACAGTGGATTTGATGTAACTTAAAATAACATTGAGAAATACTACAGCAATACTACATACTACAGCAATAATACTACAGAAATAAAATCAGGATCAGGAAAAACACAAAATAACTATATTCATTTGCTGTAGATCCCCACTAAACTGTATATTTGGCCCTGAATAGTTTTACAGCTAAGGGAAAGAGATAAATGACAATCTGTTGTATAATTGTTACTGTTTATGAGGAAATAAAAAAAACAAATCCTTGGAAGGAGAAACATTTTTTGAACTTCAATTCATTCATGTTGAAACACTGAGGTAGTAGATGAAGTCATTGAAAGATACAGCAGCTACTCACTTTAAAACATCCCTACAGCAAATAAAATAACATACTTGGAAATACTGTTTTTAATTCTGTCCTACAATGATAATGAGCACAAAACAGCACATTGCAATTCACTAAAAACAATCTTTTCTGAGCCAGGTTTCCCCATGGCCCAGCCCGGCCCTGGGATTAGAGGTACTGCCCAGTTCTTAAATAGCAGTTCCCCAGTTTGGCTTTTATAACAGCTGAGCAGTACCTCAGAGTTGCAGAGAATATGCAACCTCAGAGCTATGTCCTCACTGGTAGTTCAGGAGCAGAGTCTCTAGTGTCTCTAGTGCTAATTAGAGCAGACTCATTAACCTACAGCATTAGTTTCCAGAAGCCAGTGAGGATATAGGATCCTTGGGAGGATTCCCTGTCACACCTTCAAAGAGTACAGATTTATAGCCCTATCTACAGAGATAGGTTTGCACTTAGGTTTGCAGTGGACTGAGATACGTAATTTTTCCTATTTTTTTATTTAAAGCTTTTTTATTTGATTTTTGCTCTCACTCATGTTAGGAAACTGGTGCATTAGAGATTAAATGAGAGACAGCAGTGATATATTTTATGGAATTGATGAACCCAAAAGTCAGCTGGGCAAAAGTCAGTACCGCTGATGTTGGAACTGGACCATTCTGGGTCCTGTGGATTACAGAGTGTATTAGCAGCACCCCTGGCCTCTGCACACCGGGTGACAGTAGCTTTTCCCCCAACTCCCACACCTTTATTATGAAAAACAGAAATGTCCCCAGACATTGCCAGGTGTCCCCTGAGGGCGGGATTGCTGCCTGTTCAGAGCCTATGCAGTAACCAGAGCACCTCAGCACTGGACCAGTAAAGGGACTGTCTCCAAGCAACACCAAATTTCTCCCTTTATAAAGAGTAAGATTCACTCTAAAAATTAAATGAATGTTTACCTCTTACCACAGGGGATGTCCAAGATGACTTTGACATGGGTAATTTTCAAAACAAATATCATCAATAGTCTACCTTAACTATAGTCAGGAAAACCATTTGCACCTATGGAATGCCTTGTTCTGAGCAAAGTAGTTTTCTAGTAAACCCAACAGGATAATTGGGTTATAGTCTTAAAATATATTCATTTACAAAAATTGACCTGCTCTGTGGAATTACAGATGACATAGTAAATTTCATAGGACATTACCAAAAACAATAAATTTTTTTACATTAAATAGTCCTAACTCACTCTTTCTAAGGATGGATAGATAAGAGGAATAGTTGTGTATTAGTTGTAGAAAATATAAATTACCTTGTTATGAATTAGTAATGTATACATGGGCAATTTATATGCTGATGTGTAACATTTTAAATTACTTTAGTACTGTTACTTTGCAAAACATTAATGTTCATGAATAGGTCATTTATTTACAAATTCTTATGGAGTGACTACTGTGTTGGTATAGCACTAAGCACAAAACAAAACATATGAATGTCCTTGCTCTCATGGGACTTGCTAGTGGGAAGACAAAGACAACATACTCATAGAATATTTCGGTAGTCAGAAATGACATGAAGGAAAATGCCATGAAGGTGGTGTGGACAGGATGGTGAAGAGAGTCCCTTTAAACCCCTTTCAGGGAAGTCCATCCTTCCAGGTCAGGGGAATACAAAATGTACATACTTTTTAAAAAATTTATTACATTTATTGGGATGACACTGTTTAATAAAATTATATAGGTTTCAAGTGTACAATTCTATAACACATTTTTCAAGAGAGAAATGCTGTGAGCATCATTCCTGTGTCCCAAAAGACTGAAGTTAATGATTTGTTGTATTTTCAACACTGTGAACAGATAATTTTCTAAATATATTTTTTCACAATTTAGGTCTGCGTTTCTTGGTTCGTCTCTGCACAGATATTGGATTAAAAGAAGTTCAAGAATATGCAACAAAACTTAAGAGATTGGAAAAAATGAAAGAAATAAAGGAACAGGTATCTCATATGGGCCGAAAACTACGTTTCATTGATTTTCAAAATGTCAGCCTTCTGTAGCTCAACTGAGTGATGTTGGGTCTTCTGTTAGTAAAATGAAGTTGAAATTTTTTTCCCGCTCTAGCATAAAACTGAAATCTTAGTTTTAGGATAAAGTTCTGTCAAAAGTGAGTTCCCAACAGGAGAAAGTGCAATAGACTCAGAAAAGTCTTTAGTGGATCATACTAATAGACAAGTAATTGTAATTTTGCACAATATGAAGTAATTTATTATTTCACAGACTTAATTTTTAGTCAATTAATAGATTAGTTTTAGATTTATTTTCAATTTGAGAATCCTGTGACCCACGGAAACTAAGAGGCAGTTAGTTGTATCTATAGTGTAGGTGGCTTTGAGAATAACATTAACATACATGGAACCACCTAAAATCTATTTCTTTGTTCCATGCAGTATATGGAATAACAATGTTCTTATCTTTACTTCTTTAAAAGAATAATTTCCCTTAAGTTTGAGCCTAGAATATTTAAAAGTTAACATGATTTGAGTGTCTACCTTTCATAGAAATATATTCTTTTACCTTAGACTTTTTCGAGAACTTAATTGTTTTTGGTAATTAAATCTAAATTCCATATTTGCTTTCAAAGTGTGGTTATCTTGTTTTCTCTTTGAAGATGTTATCTGATTGTTTTACAGTCTTTCTAAAGTATCACGTGTAAAAGAATTATGGGCACAATATAGATTTTGACCTTAAAAATCCTTAATATATCAAGTTGGTATTAAAATGCCACACTACAGTATATCATTAAAACTTCCTGTGAAAACCAATTTAACACCGTGTGCCAATTGCTAATTAAATTATAGAACCTGTGCGAAAGCTCTGTAAATGTAAACTGCTATAAATGGAAGTTCAAATTATCATAATTGTCATAATAATCGCTATTAAATTTGTTTCATTAAGAAGAATCAAAAAGTAGGATATATTTCAAACCAAGACACTCTGGTACTCAAAATTAGTTATATAAAGTTACCTAGTGAAGAACCATGGATTTTTGTGGAAGAGGTTAAAGTCTTAAGACTTCATAAGTTTGGTTTCAGCCAAGGTGGCAATGTAGGTAAATGCAGTGCTTGCCTCTCCCACAACCACATCAAAATTACAGCTAAATTACGGAACAACCATCATTAAGAACCACCTGAAATCTAGCTGAACAGAAGTCCTACAACTAAGAATATAAAGAAGGCTCATCAAGACTGGTAGGAGGGGCAGAGATGCAGAATGATCTGGTCCCACACCCATGTGTGGCAGATAAAAATAGGGATATCTCAGCTGCAAAGGTCCCCCTTGAAGAGTGGAGGGTTCAAGCCCCACACCAAGCTGCTCAGTGGACCACTAGTTCTAGGAAGAAAAGTCCCCATATTTTTATAGCCAAACAGCCAAAAATATGGAATTGGTAGGAATTGAGGCTGAGTGAGACAAAAGGCTTCTGGAAACTTCCCAGGAAGTTTCCCTTAAAGGGCCTGCATAGACTTATTTGGACTCACTCCTCAGAGCTCCAGTGCTGGAGAAGCAGCTCAAAAGGCACAAGGAATATCTGGGAGGAAATGAATTTTCTGGCATCAGGACAAGAGCTGGAAGGGCAGCTTTCTCCCAGACAGAAGTGCTGGCAGAGGCCATTGTTCCTTTTGTGAGCCCTCCCCCAACAGAACCAGTAGGTAGGTGACATACAAGAGTCTCCGTCAACCTATCACTGTTTGCTGACCATGGTGACTCCTTGAGACACAATCCCCCCTAACTTTTGGGCCCACCCGAGCTGTTTTTAGTGGCTTTTCCGTACTAACAACCTATCTTGGCTCAGGCTTTAGATGTTCCTAAAATCTCTCAAACAAGCAGCATTTAGACTCAGTATGTCCAGTACCTATCACTAAGTGGCCCCAAGGCTTGGCACTAGTGGCAACCAGCCTTGGTTCACTGCTTGGCCTCTCCTGGACACCTCAAAGACCAGCACAAGTAGCAGCCATCTGAAAACTGCTTTGTAGCTCATACTGGTGGCCCCAGGCAGAACACAGATTGAGGCTTGACCTTGGCCTGCACCTCCCAGAAGACTCTATGCCAATGCACTTGGTTGACAGCTTCAGACCATGTCAAAGCTCCACCCAGCCGCCTCCACAAGCGACACACTCAGGGGCAGACTCAGTGAGCCCTGCTGAAATAAGTCCTGCTCCATGGGGTGGCTATCCTCGATGGTGGTTATAGTCAGTCCTCCTGGCCAGTTGTCCTGGGGGTAAATCCCTCCAGTTGATGTGCTAACAACAATCGAGGCTCAACTACAACAAGGGAGTGCACTTGAGTGCCTAGATCTGGTGACTTGGAAGGTCACGTCACTGGGCCCTATAGGACACCTACTACATAAGGCTGCCCTACCAAGACCTGGAAACATAGAAGCTCTATCTAATACATAGAAACAAACACAGGCAGGCAGCCAGAATGAGGAGACAAACATATCCCAAATGAAAGAACAGAACAAAACTCCAGAAAAAGAACTAAGCAAAATGGAGACAGGCAACCTACCAGATGCAGAGTTCAAAACACGGTTTATAAGGATGCTGAATGAACTTAGGGGAAAAGGAGATAAGCTTAGTGAGACTTTCAACAAAGAGATAGGAAACACAAAAGAAGAAATGAAGAATACATTACAGGGAATCAACAATAGAGTAGATGAAGCAGAGGATCAAAACAGCAATTTGGAAGATAATCAGAAAAACCCCAGTCAGAACAGCAAAAAGGAAAAAAAATCCAAAAATATGAGGATAGTTTAAGGAGCCTCTGGGATGACTTCGGGCATACTAACACTCACCTCATGGGAGTGCCTGAAGGAGAAGAAAGGGAGCAAGAAATCGAGAACCTATTTGAAAAAATAATAATGGAAAACTTCCCTAACCTGGTGAAGAAAATACATGCAAGTCTAGGTATCACGCAGAGTCCCAAATGAAATGAACCCAAAGAGGCCCACACCAAAGTACATCTTAATTAAAATACCAAAAGTTAAAGATAAATAATCTTAAAAGCAGGAAGAGAAAAGCAGTTAGTTACCTAAAAGGGAGCTCCTATAAGACTGTCAGCTGATTTCTGAACAGAAACTTGGAAGGCTGAAAGGGATTGGCATGAAACAAGTTTATTTTACCCAGCAAAGCTATTATTTAGAATTGAAGGACAGATAAAGAGCTTCCCAGGCAAAAAGAAGTTAAAGAAGTTCAGCACCACTAAACCAGTATTACAAGAAATATTAAGGATCTTCTTTAAGAAGAAGAAGAAGGAAAAAATGAAGGAACTATGAAAAATAAAATTATTCAATAAATACATATGTGCCATTAATTACTTTAAATGCAAATGGGTAAAATACTCCAATCAAAAGACGTGGTGGCTGAATGGATAACAAAACAAGACTCCTGTATGTTCTCTATAAGAGACTCACTTCAGATCAAAAGACACTCAGACTGAAAATAAAAGGATGGGAAAAGATATTTCATGAAAATGGAAACAAAAAAAAAGGTTTACACCAGACAAAATAGACTTTAAAACAATAGCTATAATCAGAGAAATGCAGATCAAAACCACCATGAGGTACCACCTCACACAGGTCAGAATGGCCATCATAAACAGATCAACAAACAACAGGTGCTGGCGAGGCTGTGGAGAAAAGGGAACCCTAGTACACTGTTGGTGGGAATGCAGACTGGAGCAGCCATTGTGGAAAGCAGTGTGGAATTTCCTCAAAAAGCTGAAAATGGAACTGCCTTTTGATCCAGTGATTCCCCTGCTGGGACTATACCCTAAGAACACCAAAACACCAATACAAAAGAACCTATGCACCCCAATGTTCATAGCAGCACAATTTACAATAGCCAAGTGTTGGAAGCAACCTAAATGCCCATCAGTAGATGATTGGATCAAAAAATAATGGTACATATACACAATGGAATACTACGCAGCAGAAAGAAAAAAAGAACTACTAAACTTTGCGACAGCATGGATGGAACTGGAGAGCATTTTGCTAAGCGAAATAAGCCGGGGGGCCAAAGACAAATACCATATGATCTCACCTATAAGTGGAACCTAACCAACAATACAAAGATGCAAGTAAAATAAGACCAGCAGTACTGAAAGGAAAAGAAATCAACAGAGACAAGAGGGAAGGAGGGAGGGGGTGTGGGGAAACGGAAGGGAAGGGGAATGTCAAGGAACATATAGCAAGGACTCATGGACAAAACCAAAGGGGAAGAGCTGAGGGAAGGAAGGAGGGAGGGGGCAAGGGAAAGTGGTGGGGGGTAGGCAGAGACAAATGTATTTGAAAAAATAAATTAAAATAAATTAAAAAATCAAAAAAACAAAAAAAAAGTGTAGGTACAAAATAGACAGGGGAGGTTAAGAATAGTGTAGGAAATGGAGAAACCAAAGAACTTATATGTACAATCCTTGGACATGAACTAAGGGGAGGACTGCATGTAGAAAGGAAGGTGCAGGGTGGAGGGGAATAAAGGGGAGAGAAAAATGGGACAACTGCAATAGCATAATCAATAAAATATTACTGTTTCAATTTGTCCTTTCAGGTTGTGAGACTAGGGGCAGGGCACTCTTTCCTGAATCTTGGAACACAAAAAGTAGTATTAGTTATGAAACAAGATAGAATAAATAATCTCCTTTTCTAAATTTTAACTTAAAACTTCTTGTTACTTTTTCTGTTCCTTGTTTGCAATCTGTTCTGGTGCAAAGACTTAACATTTTTCTTATGTAATTAGAACCTCTGCATAAAATCATTGTTAATGCCTACATAGTATATCTTGCTTTTTTAAAACATTTCCACATTGTTAGACAGTCACGTGTCTTTTTTATAGTTGGGAACTTTCTACATCTGATTTGGAGGTGCTTCTTGCCGAAGCTCTTTTGGCCTCTATGATTAGCTGTAGGAGAGCTCTTCTGTGTTGCTGACTTGAGCCATGTAATG